AAGAAAGAGAAAGAAAGAAAGAAAGAAAGAAAGAAAGAAAGAAAGAAAGAAAGAAAGAAAGAAAGAAAGAAAGACTGGAGGCTAAAATATATAAAGAATGGTTGCTGGAATTTGGTATGTCTAGTTTAATGAAAAGAAGGACTAGGGGAGACATGATAGCAGTCTTCCAATATCTCAGGGGTTGCCACAAAGAAGAGGGAGTCAAACTATTCTCCAAAGCGCCTGAGAATAGAACAAGAAGCAATGGGTGGAAACTAATCAAGGAGAGAAGCAACCTAGGACTGAGGAGAAATTTCCTGATGAAATAATTATTTCGTAGAATGACTTGCCTCCAGAAGTTGTGGTCGCTTCATCCCTGGAGGTTTTTAAAGAAGAGATTGGACATCCATTTGTCTGAAATGGTTTATGGTCTCCTGCTTGTGCAATGGGCTGGACTAGAAGACCTCCAAGGTCCCTTCCAATACTTTACTTCTATGTTCTCTGTCTGTCTTCTGCAATGAAATGTCAAAATTGATCGCGGGGAATAAAAATGAAAAAAAATAATTTGTTATTTATTTCATAAAAGAAGAGGAACGGGTGCAGTCCGCAAAGGATCTAGTCCTTTCTGCAGACCCAGAATCAAGTGAGGAGATAAGAGAACCGGAGGAGCAGTCGGCGGACGACTTCGAAGTGGTTTATTTGCGGGGAATGTCCACCAATCAGTTTCTACCTCCTCTGCTGTACGAAGATACAAACGACTTCAAGGTAAAAGATTTATCGTCCCCCTCTAAGATTCGGTGGTGGTGGTGGTGGAGTGGGAGAACTCGATGGGTTGAGAATTATGGAAGTTCAGTCGATCCCTTTTGGATAGACTTGCCTCCAGAAGCTGGGGTGGACGAGGCCAGGGTGGGCATGGCATCACTCGTTTTGGGGGCGCCTGTGGTAGCCTGAGCACTCTGCCAGCGAAAATGGGCTCCCGAGCTCCGTTTTCGGCTGTGACGGCCTCCTGCAACCCAATGCTAGTGAAAACGGAGCTCGGGAGGGCTGTCCGCACCCCTCTTCAGCTCAGTTTTCACTGGCAGAGGCAACGCGGGCCACTCTTTTGTTGTTTTGAGGGTGCACACTACGGGCCACATCTAAGCACCCGGTGGGCCGGATCCGGCCCCAGGGCCTTGAGTTTGACACCCATGGTTTAGAGGAAATTGGAGTTATTCAATCAAATTTACCACCAAATAATACCATCCTAAAAGGGACATGGTGGCTCAGTGGCTAAGACGCTGAGATTATCAGTCAGAAAGGTCAGCAGTTCAGTGGTTTGAATCCCTAGCGCCGCGTAATGGAGTGAGCTCCCGTTACTTGCCCCAGCTTCTGCCAACCGAGCAGTTCAAAAGCTTGTAAAAATGCAAGTAGAAAAATAGGAACCGCCTTTGGTAGGAAGGGAACAGCGTTCCGTACGCCTTCCGTGTTTTGTCATGCTGGCCACATGACCACGGAGACGTCTTTGGACAGTGCTGGCTCTTCGGCTTTGAAACGGAGATGAGCACCATCTCCTAGTCACGAATGACTAGCACATGTGTGCGAGGGGAACCTTGACCTTTGCTTAATACCATCGTCTTTTGCTCTGAATGAAGGATTATAAGGAGCTGGGTCCTTTGGATGTGAAATTAATGTGCGCCGTGGGCCAGAAGATGCCAATTCATGAAGACCTCAAAGAAATGCCCAGCAAAAGTCAATTGGAAGAGAGGTATGACCCAAATAAGGCTTCACAGCACATCACTTACCGTATGATCAAATCTGTATTTCCTTAAAATTGAGGAAGGCAAAGGGGAAAAGGTCCTTTCAGATACTTGGGAGCCTCTTAAAATTTCCTTTCGGTGCTAGGGGCCGTTGTGTATATGGAAAAAGAGGAAGGAATATTAAAAATATTGGCTGTCAATTGTTGATGGGGTTTTTTTTGCAACTGATCTACAAATTAAAAGAGATTTGCGTTGGACTCACCGGGAAAGAATATATGTTGTATTGCCGAATTCCTGTCATTTGTTCCCATCAGATTATAAACTTGCTTGTTACGGAAACGAAGTGTATGAATTGTTTATGTCTGTGTTCTGACCCAGGCTTCCTTAGAAAGCGAGAAACAAACTCTCGGTCCCTGAAAAACCTCTTTTATTTACACGACTGTGAGTTCCTTTCATTCACAGTCAGCAAGGCTTAGCAAACAGTCTTTCCAAGGAATATTTATCTACACGCACCTTATCTCGTTTGGAGAGCTCCCAGATAACTAGTTTCTAAACGCAGGGCAAGGCAAACCGTGACCTGTCAAAACCGTGTTCCACAAAAGCGCGGTCAACGAAATCGCGTATGTGACGTCATCACAACGCAACGAAAAAGATCGAAAAATTGTAATAAAAATTAA